GCATAGGTGGAGGTTATCTTCCTATTTAATAAGAGGTACTTAGACCACGCCTCTTTCTGATGGGATCCTTATCTATTTGAAACCCGAAGTTACCATCCTCCTTCCTCCAACACTGCAGACCTCAACTTTTTAAAAAGCTGGCAAAAGATTCATACAGATGTGTTTGTAACCACTGAGTGTAATTCCATGCCCCTCCCCCATCCTAAGCCAGCTCACAGGGAAGCCAAGCCTATCCGTCTTGCAGGGCCAGCCTTCTATTTAGAGATCTACAATTGTCTACAAAAGAAATCTGTGCTTAGAAGAATGACCCAGAAACACAAGACGATCCCCAGCCATAGTGGAAAAACTAAGTTGTGAGCTCTCCAGTTATACTGACCATGGAACTGCTTTCTGTGCCACCCGTAGGTTCAAGGAGCAACCTAGAAGATGTCGTAATGGTGACTGACATGGGAACGGCAGCAGAACATTTCAAATGGAGGTTTTCTAGAAACTCAGAGATAGATAATTGTTGTAACTGCCCTGTAATTTGAAAGGCAAGATTCAACATCAATATCTTGGGAAAGGTTTCGAGCCAACATTTTTCTGATTAACCTTCATCAAAAATGCCCATATCTGAAATAGTCTATTTAATTGATAGTTAACTGAATTTATATTAGAACATTTAAAGTATAAAAATGCCATTTAAGGATGAATTTATTGGCACTTACATGTAGCTCAAACTCTGAAGAAGATTCTCTTCAAGAGCTTCTAAATCAGTGGTTCTCAGCCTTCCTATTGCTGCGACCCTTTAATATAGTTCCTCAGGTTGTGGTGACCCCAACCATAAAATTATTTCATTGCTTCTTCATAACTGTAATTTTGCTACTGTTATGATTCGTAATAACTATCTGTGTTTTCCAATGGGCGTAGGCCACCCCTGCAAAAGGGTCAAAGGGGTGGCAATCCACAGGTTGAGAACCATTATTCTGAATGAAGACAGCTTTTACTGGACAACTGGAAAGAGTTCCATGCTTACAGTATCTGATTTTCCATTTCCATCTTCCTCCCAGACACCAGCTTCCTAGTTAAAAGCTCCTGGTATTTTTTCTTAAAATTCTTTTTTGAAATTTAAAGAATGATAAATTTTGTAAGAGCAGAATTGACAATCTTCATAATTTATTATGTATTTCCTTGGTGGAGTAAAGTTAACATCCTTGCTTAATGTGTAAAGAAGAAAACAATAAGATTTTCTTTTTTATTCAGCCACTTCCAAGTTTAATGTGTTGACATTAATATATATATATATGTATTTGAAATCCAAATAATATTGTTTTATTATTGTGATTCATTAGAAAAGAAAAACAAAATGAAAACAAAACAACAACAACAAAAACAGGATGGGACTTGCTGGTTCTGTATGACCTTAAACGGGAAGGAAAACCTCTCATTCAGGTCAGCTAGCCTAACAGTAACCGACATTGTGGTCACTTATCTATTTAAAAAATAAAAATAAAAAGGTCAGATCCAATGCCTGGGCTTTCTGTTCTCCCTGAACAGACAATTCAAATCAGAGCTGCTAATCCCATCCAAACTAACAGCTTAAGGTTAAGTAGATCCAGGGACGCCTGCCTGCCACTCCCAAGACTTGGTTTTGGATTTTGGAATTCACCGTTTTTCTGGCAATAAAATTTAATTACTGCTCCTTTGTTTCCCCCCCTCCTGATTTGCAAAATCACCTATTTATCTGGAAATTGACAAAATTCCTTTATTTCTCCTTTTTTAGACTGGAAAACCAAAGTTTGTGCATCTTTTGTTTTCAGAATGACCCTGTGGTGCACTCTCTCTGAGATTTAAGTGGAAGTCCCTTCTCTTTCTGATGGTGTTGCTTACTGAGTCATGTGGCTGAGCAGCAGAAAATTATGTCCTACTTTAGAAAAACAATTGGGCCTTTTCACTGAAATATTTATTCAAAACGCCTCTCAGCTCATACGGTGGCTGTCGCTCTTCACTGAGTCTCTCTTTCAGAAGGTAACTTTGATTTTGCCACTTTGACCTCAAGTTATAGCTCACAAGGAGAGGAGTTAGATCCTGCTTAATGCTTCAGTTCCAGGTCTCAGGGCTCGAAGAGGGGAACTTTTCTTCCTCCTTAATCACACGTTGCTACTATTCATTTTAAAAATAATTTCTTCTGAATGGGCAAAACCCTATTCAAAAAGACTTTTTTCCCCCCTGCTTTTGATCTGTTGAAAAGGAAGAACACAGGGAAATGGGCCAAGATGCTGTCACCCTCATGATTTCACCAAAAGCAACTATATTTAGACTGAAAAATATTAAGATTTATCCTGTGCCCACAGAGCAATTAATGAGGAAAACATCTGGAGTTACCTAAAACCAAAAGAATCCAGGAGGCATCTGAATAGACACTTAGTGACCGGGAAGGAGCCTTCCAGGATTGTCTTCTCTCTGTTGTTTACACCACATTCCCTTAGTGGCCCCTAATCCTGATTTCCAATGTTTATACCAAACAGTTCACAGGCCCTGCTACAACCAACAGCTGGCTGGCATATCAGTTTTCTGCCTTTAAAATTAAAAGGAAAATAAGCGGAGTATTCTAACACTTTACAAAGTGAGATTCTGGAGGCATTCTTACGTTCAAAGGTTTTAACCTCACAGAGACAGACACACAGACACACACACTAAAAACCTAAGCAGGTTTACAAGGTTGGAGATAGTTTAGTAGGATTTAGTCCCAGATTTTCCTCTCTGCCCCGCTGTTTCTTCTGTGTTAAGAGCAAAGTTGGTCTGCACCTTTTCAAAACAGCCATTAGGTAAGATGGAAAACTAAGTCCGTGGGATTTAAACTGTTACTTATGCAAACTCGGGCTCTCAACAGGGCTTTCATTTCAAAGCCTCAACACTGCATGACACAGATACTTACTAGAAAAAAATTTTTTTGAGAGAATGTTTTAGTTATCCTTAATTTCTGGAACAATGGAAAGACCTGGAATTCACTGGTTTGTGGACAACAGAGCCAGCCTGCAGGGCACAGGCAATACCGACACTTGACTCGCTCGGCTCCAAGTTGGAGTATGGGCTGAAACTCTAGCTGAAGCTGACTACAATGAGCACTGATTGCCCTGCTTACAAAAATAAGACACTGGAATTTCTGAAACCCTTTTGTGAAATGCCTTTATTTACTTTGTCTAATGCAAGTTTCTTTGATTAGTTAAACCTTGCTCTTATCAACACTTTTTGCTTATCGGCTTGCCCTAGGCGAGTGACACATTCAACACCCGCTCTCCCCAGATAAAGCAAATCCCTGTTTAACTTGTTCAAGAACAAACAAAGCTTTTCCCTCCACTCTGGCAACCTAATAGGCATGTTAGGGGGGCTAACTGCAAAAGGGAGAATTTCTACAAGCAACTCTGCTCCACGGGCGCTCTTTCTAGGACAGTGCTTTCCTTCTATTACAAATGATTCAGGACAGTCCTCCCTAAGAAGCCGAAGTTTCACAGTGCTCAGTTTCCTGCCTTCCCTAATAGAATGTTCACATGGAAAGGAGGGTTCGGAGGACCTGCTAGTGATTGGGAAATATTTTCTAATAATAAGTTTCTTCACCTTCTCTAAAAAGAAAATGAGCAACAAAGAGGACAGACAGGGTGTTTGGGAGCTGCTGACTAGTAAGGCATTTCCTGGAGCGACATTCCCTTCTGCCTGTGGCTCTATGAATGTTAAGTTGGACGGCCAGGCTGTTGGCATCAAATAGTTATTGATTTTCCAGCCACAGACCTGTTGATTTTCTGGCCCAAGAAGCGAGTCCCCCCTCCCCCTTTTTCCTAAGAAAAAGTTTCAAAGAGTCAGCTGACACGCTGCCGCTGCCCCCTCCTCGCCGTTTGCCTCTCTTTAGACAAGCCACCATGTTGTTAGGAAAACTCAATTTTTTCCAGTTAAACTTTGACCTCTTTGAAAACAAAGATTTAAAATGTCATTTTCAGGCTAATGCTCCAATGAATTGTCAAATCAAGTACTAAAAACATTTTGATAGATAGATGAGCCATTTATCTAAATCACTGTCAGGGCGGCCAAGCGTCCTGCAGGCTCCCCCAGCCGGCTCTAGGTAGGCTTTCCCAGGACTCCTGGTCATTTCTCAGCCCGGCAGCTGAGCTACTGTTGACCAGTGGAGCCGGGTCTCTGTGTCAGCATCAGATAACCAAACAGTCAATATTGTTTTTAAAAACGAGGCCACTCCATTTAGATTTCTTTTCCTTTAACTGAAGTCCAGGCTTCTGGCTGAATAGTAAGATAGGAAATAAATGAATGGCCAGCTCAAGAGGTGTTGGTGGCTAGCGGTTCTCTAGCAAAACTGCAACTTCTTAGACCAACAAAGTGACTCGGAGAGGTGGCAGTGGGGTCAATGCTAAGACATATTGCCTTCGCTCAGCAAAAAGAATGAGGAAGGCAGCGTCCTGCACCAACCTGCCCTGTGCATCATGAGCTCTGGGCAACCGCCTTCACACTGTTGCATTCCTTGAAGGGACGATGTCATACTTTAATTACTTTGTACTGTTGAAACACACATGGGGGAAGTGTTACTGGGCTTGTGGCTAATCCCAGCCAAGTTAACCCCCTTCTGCACTCCTTACACAAATCTTATGCTGTGTCAGATCACAGTACTTGAAGAATGTTTCAAAGTCTGCGGCCACCTATTATTTTCCCCTTCTCTCTGTACATACTAAAAAAACAAAAACAAAACAACAACAAAAAAAAACTATCTTCAAGAAAGAACGGGTAGTACGGGAGAACAGGGGCGCATGAGGCGTTTTTGGGGAAGCAACCCTCCAAGAGGAAATTTCAGCAGAGATGGAATCCATATGCATGCCTGCCTATCTCACTCCTTCAGCATTAAATCATTAAACCCTTTGTCTTGCCACCATTGCACTTTATTCCAGTGTCTTTATTGCATGCAAGAGAGACATTTTTTTTTTTCTTTGTAGAAGAAAGGAAAAAAAAAATAAACCTACATTGAGCAGTGTGCCGGTGCTGCCATTCGGCCTGGGTGAATCCACTGAGGCAGGCTTTGAGAGCCTTTTCCTGCAGCATGCAGGAGGACGGGCTCGCGGTGTAGAAATCCAGGATCTGCCCGGGACTCACTGACAGAACATCCATACAGTCAAACATGATCTCTCCGCACCGCGCTCTGCAAAAGTGCTTATCCTCTAGGTGTGGAGGCGAGCGGCACAGAAAAGTCCACGAACTCCATCAAACTCTGCCCCTTTTTTGGCACGTAGGCTGTTGGTCTTTTTCCCAGCCCCGAATCATGAATTATGACAGACAAGCCAGCTAAAAGCCTGTAATTGATCCAAATGATCATTTACCATTTTCCAGGCTCGCTCGGCCGATCCAGCCCGGGCGGGGGTTCCCGCACCGATCCCAAGTTCTCCCTTCCAGGCGACGCCCGCGCAGGCCTCCGGGAGAGCGCGGGTCCTACCCAGCCGGTGCCCAGACGCGCCCTGCCCGGGTGGCTCGCGTCCTCGGCATCCCAGTCCTGCGGCCGCGGCGCAGGGGAACTCTGGTCCCCCCTTTGGCAAAGAATAGACCCTCCTGCCTCCGAGCAGCTCACTTCCTACCACTTCTGTCACACGGAATGAAAGATTGAATTGCCTAATATATGCGAGTGAACTTTCGGTGAACCCTTCCCGGGCTGCTAACCTTCAAATGACCCAACCCGTCTGACATCACCAACTCCCAGGATTCTCACAGCGCTTAAAAACTCCCAGCAGCCCTGCAAGAGCCGGCAGCCAGCGAGGCCGCGGCCAGCCGCGCGGTGCTCCCCACGGCTCAGCGTGCAAACAATGCCAGGAGCGCAGGGAGGAGCGGGAGCGCGGCTGCGGTTTGCGCCTTTTCATCCGCCCGGCCCTGGCGGGGAGACCCTCGCCACAGCCCACGTCTGAAATTCCTCTCTTCTGCGCTGTGCCAGGCAAAGCCCTGGCGACTTAGGTATCTTTCCACTCCTGTAAAAGCACTCTGCAAGCCCCGAACTGCCGGTCCGGGGCCCCGCCACCACTCGCAGAAGGAAGCCTCTCGGGCCGGGAAACTTCCCATTGTGTGCGCAGTCTTTTTATTTCTTCTTCTTCTTCTTCTTCTTCTTCTTCTTCTTCTTCTTCTTCTT